GGGGGGGTGGCAGGGGCCCAGGACGAGGGTGGAGCCTGGCCTGGCAGCACTGCTGGGAGTGGGGCCACTCCTGCCGCACAGCAATGCCCTCTCCTGTACTCATAACAAGGTTGATATTAAGCATCTTCCCTCACTTGTTTCCCACTAGGCTGGAATCCTGAGAAGCAGGCATCACATCAGTCTAAGGCAGGGGTTGCCCAACTAGATCCTTGGGCCAAGCCATTCCCTCCACCTGGTTTGGTAAATAAGGTTTTCCTGGAACAGGCATGCCAATCATTTATTATCTACAGCTGCTTTCTCACTGCAGCGGCAGAGCTGAGTAGTTGTAGGGGAGACCACAAGGTCCCCAGTGCCTAAAATACTATCTGGCCCTTTAGGGGAAAAGTATACTGACTTCTGGTCAGGTGCTTGGCGGTGTCCCCAGTGCCTAGATCAGAGCTTGATACTGTTGCTGAGTACATGGACAAATTGGGATGAGCAGTCCATCTCTCTGCCACTAACAGGCTGGTGACAGCTGAGGGCTAGGTGTCCCTGTCCTTCCTTTCTACCTGGTTTACATATTGGACTTCTGGGTCTGATATCCTTTGAACATTAGGCTGCATTGCTTTCAGTTTTAAAAAATTAAAATAAGTCAGTGACTGTATAAATAATTGAGAAAAAGCTACTGGCCAAGCGTTTGGCTATGCCAGTGTCAGCCTAGATAAATTTCAAAATAATCATTACCCACCGCTCTTAAAAGGATGCCAATACAATGGCTGTGTATTTTTAAGTAGCATCATTGAGCAGAGAGCCCTCCGTGACAAAGAAAGTGAAATTATACCACCGAGGGACGAGTGACACGTGCTAAGGGACTGACTTGCCCAGGATCTCTACCAAGATAATCACTTCAGTGTCATAATACTCAGACTTCAGCCAGTCCCAGCAGCAATGCACTGGCAAGACCTAGTGCCTTCCAGTCAACAAACCGTTGAGAGTAAACCCATTTTTCATAATTGAAGTCATCCGTGTGCCATTCCCACCATCTTGGCTGCATCTGAATACCACCTGTGTTATTATTTGCTTAGTAGTTTCCTTCTTTAAATTAACCTTTTTTTAATTTAAATTTTATTTTAGAAGAAAGTTTTATACCACCACTCATGTAAAACTAGTGTGGTAAACAAGGTGACCCTAAACAAGATACAAAGAAAAGTTTTACGTCCTCTTAAGTCAAATTGTAAGTCCTATTTTAATTCCTCAAATTCCAGGGAGATTCTCCCGACTGCAAAGGTCTGAGCTGGAGAGAAATGAGCAAGCGTGAGAGAGGCCAGGTTTCGTGCCAATGAGCCCTTCTCCTGAGGTGGCCGTGAAGGGCAACGAGAATGAGAGCGGGGCTGCTGCATGGCACTCGGGCCACATTTATAAGCAACTGGAATCCCCTTTGTCCCCCACACTTGGGAAAAGGCTGGGGTGGAGGAAGCTTCATTTCCTTTTCTCTGTCAAGCGTAATGCACCATTTCACCTTTCAAAAATTGTGTGACAAATTAAAGAAGTGGGTGGGCGGCATCCCTCATCTGCCCACGCCCTCCATTGCCTGGGTGTCCCCAAGCACATGGCACTCTGGGTGGCCCGCAGCTCTAGCTGGGAGCCCTTGTAGTGGGGATTTCTCTTGATCTGTTCGGAAAGGAGACTGGATGTGGTTCTGTCAGATAGAGTTGTCTTGGTCACCTTGTCTCTCTGGAGCTGGAATTCCTTTCAATGGCCAGAGCTCTGGGCAGGCTGGACTCAGCCACAACTACCATGACCCCCACCCTGCAAACCGACACCTGGGGCTTGGCACTGTGCCCTGAGGCCCATATCCGTGATTTATGGTAACCCCACATCATACTTTCTCACCGTCTCCCTCCTCCCTGCATGGGGCACCTTCACAGGAAAGGGAGATGAGATACCTACCCACTGGCAGGGCACCACTTGGGCACCAGGCGAGAAGGTCCCTGTTAGACCCTGACCTTCTGTCTGATCCTGGTTAGCAAGGTGAATGAACACTCAGGCCCTGTGGTGTCTGAGGGCACACACACTCATGAGTGTCGCAGGCCAGGTGCCCAGAGCCACCACTGCCTTGCCTTTCCCCTGACTCAGACTCTCCTGGGCCAGATGGGCACCACTCCTTTCCTGAACAGAGAGCTGAGAGCTGCTCTGGGAGCCAGGGTGGTGGCCTGATGGTGGCTCAGGGCACAGTGACCTGGACCAGCACTGTCTCGGAGACTGACCTCGCTTGTCCACTCCATGGGCTCTGAGCCCCTTCCTGACTGTAGGAGCGCCAACGAGGAGGTGGGGACACAGACGGTCCTGGAGGTGCTTGTTTAGCACGAATGGTTCCAAACTCAAAATCATAGTGGGGTGTCTTTACTGGGGAGGGGGTATGTCTCAGTGGGAGAGGGACCCTAAGCACCTGTGTTTGGCAGGGGAAAGGGAGCAGTCAAGCCGCCTGAATCAGAAACCAAGGATCTAACGGGACAGAAGGGCATCGCAGCGCTATGCGCCGTCAGCCACGAGAGGACGCGAAGGAGCCAGGCCGCAGCGGGCCGAACCCAAGCACCTGGTTTCACTGAACTTTTATTGAGTTTATTTGTGGGCTGCATGACAGGAAGTCTTTCCAGCGTTAGTAAGAATAAAAGGTCATTTTCACAGTCACTTTGGCACACACTCACGTGGTCTCATAAAAAAAAAAACACCGGAAAAGCAACGACAATGGCACCTATATAATACGTCATAAATACATACAAAACACTAATAAAATATCCCTGATAAACCAAAGTGCATATAGACAGAGAGAACAATGCCCAGGAGCGTATTGCACCTTCCCAGAGTCACTCGTGTCACTCGCATGGCCTAGTCAAAGTTGAAAGTTAACAGTCGTGAGAATTAGTATGCGTTACACACCGAGTATTTACATAACAGTAATTAGTGCCAGGAGGGCTGGTGGCGGTGGCGGGGGCTGCTATTCACAGGTGGGCAGTCCTGGGGGTGTGGTGGGAGTGACGGCGGGAATGCTACACGGGTCACTTGAAGGGCCAAGAGTGTTGCCCTCTGGAATAAGGCAGAGCTGTGGGAGCGCCCGAGAGGGCTCCAGCAACAGTCAGTGCCCACTGGCCAGTGGGTCTCCTTCCCGCACAGGTGGCCTGAGAGTGTCTGGGTCCCTGACAGGCCGAGGGGCACAGGGAGCCAGGCCACCTGCTTGGGAAACCTTATCCTTGGCCAAAGGTGGATAACTCGGATCTCCTCCCCCTAGACCTGCAGTGCCGGCCTCCTACCTGGATCGTGTCCCCCTCTGAAGCTGGAGTTAGCAGCCAATTCTGTTACCTTTCAACTTTAAGGCATTTTCTACATAGTTTTGTCTAAGCAAAAAAGCAATAAAAATTGAGGTAATTCTGTAGTTGTTCATACTGGCAGGTGGCCGCATCCGCATCAGTCTCTCACTCTCTCACCCCTGTAGACGGGATCATGTGCGCATGATGAGAGAAGGCCATCGGAGCTAATGGACAAAGAATGGGAGAGGTGGTGTGTCCCTATGTCCCACTGGAGGGACACATCCCCGGCCTCCTCTGTTTGACCTGAACACGCCTGGGGAGGCAGGGCATAGGGGCAAGGGCTGTGTGAGTTGGACATCAAGGCCACAGAAAGCAGGCCACAGTCGCACGAGTCAGGAGGACACACTCAGCACAGGGTCAGCAGTAGCAGCAGCAGCAGCAGAAGAGGCAGCTGGGAAGCCCCCTGATATAACGCTGGACCCTTAGGGCTGGGCTACCCAGGATGGCAGCACAAAACAGTGGGCCTCGAGACCCCCAGCCTCTGGGTGGTAGGTGCATTTGAAAGGGGATGGGCAGGCTTCCCCTTGACTTCCAACCTGCAGCTCCAGCTTGGAGGGCTGTGGCCCTGCGAGGAGGTCACCAAGTGGTCACATTCGCACTTTGGCCTCTGGCCCTTCCAGCACCATGACAGATCTTTGACCCTTTACAAGCCATCACCAACCAGGTCCCAGCCCCCCCCACAAGAGGCCAGTGCCTGGGCCCTGTCTCTGTGAGGCTGGCCCTCCCGGCCAGGCAGCCAAGAGGCTCCGAAGGAGATGGCCGAGCACAGAGGCCCAGGAAAAAACAGATTCAACCGAGAGCACTCAGCAAGAGTCAGGGGAGTTTTCCATAGAAAGAGAGGAGGGGAGCCCACGGCAAGCTCCACAAGGCGCAGGGCATGCACTGGAGGGCAGAGGCAGAGTTATAAACAGGCCGGTTACTTGACGAAGTCTTCTGGACCTGCGAGTCAGGGTCCGGTCGGGACAGCCACTGAACCACATAGCTCTTCTTGGAGGGGTCGGAGATGTTTCCTAGAGGGAAGAGAAGGGGACTGCAGCTGCTGGGGCATTGGCGAGGGCTCCCCCTGCCCCCTGCTCCGTAGACCTGATGTCCCTGGAAAGGGCAACGAGAGGGCATTCAAGGGTTTCCCTCATGACAGATGGGCCTGTGTCTCTCTACCCCTCTCCCATGCATCCCGGGTCTCAGCTATGGAGTAGCTATAGCACACAGGCCCTGCTGGCCTCCTGATCTGTGCACTGCTCCTCCACACCAGGTCTGGCTCCCAGGCTGAGCAGTACACAAACTGCCTGCTCCAGGAACACAGGGACCAAATGAATCTGGATCTACCACCCCTGTCCTGAGCTGGGGAGGGCACACCTGACCCTCCTGAGCTCCCTTCTCCATAGGCAGAACTTGTACTGGGGTCTACATCTTGAGCTGTTTTGGGGATCAAAAGAGGTTACAAGTCCAGCATTTGCCAAGGTGTCTGCATGTAGCCAGTATTCTGGTTGTTCTCTGCGGAAGGCACAGGGCACCTGTCTGGCTGAGCCCCGCTGTGTGGTGACTGTGAGTCTGTTTCCATCTCCTAGACCAACAGGAAGTGTCAGGAAGGCAGGGATGGGCTGAGTCCACTCCATCCTTCATCAGGGCCTGGCCTGGCCTGGAGATGAGCAGTTCCTTACATTCTCCACTATGGAAAGGACCCAGCCCTGGCCTGGGAGGCCTCAACTTCTACTTCAAGGTCAGGGATGCTGAGTCTGGGCCACTTGTGGGAAGAGCATTTGCCTGGACCAACCCCCTGGCCTTGGGGTTTGCACACTGGGGCTCAGGGAACATGGCAGCAGAGGGCTTACCTGGACAGGGGCCCAGCCTGCAGATTCTTGCTGTCTCAGGTCGCTCGTCCTGGCAGATCCCAAAGTTGTCATCCACTGTGCGGCAGAGCACTGGCCGCTCCTGGGTCCCATTGCCACAGGTTACAGAGCACTGCAGGTGGAGAGTCACCAGTTAGGGCCCACCTCCCATGCTGTGGGCCTGGAAGAGCTCTTGCACGCATGTGATCCCATAACACGTGAGAGGTGGTGAGGGGCAGGGGGGGAGTGGGGACTAGAGGCTGACCCAGCCTCACCCCAGCCTCGGGTGGCTGCCTTAGTCTCCTTGGGCTCTGAAGAGGGGACATACATACTTATGTCTTGGAGTTATTGTGAGTTAAAGAGCGACTATGTACGGCCTGGCATTTCTGAATGCTCTAACTTTAGGAGACCTGAGATCCAGAAAAACCTGCTGTGCACTGAGGACTACTGGGAAAGCTCTGAGTCCAGGAGGCTTTGGCAGAGGACCATCTCCTCTAACCTTCCTCTCACTCCTGCCCCCTCTCAGGGCTCTATACTACCAGCACCCTTGATGGCCCCTCCAGCCCCTGTCCGCCTCTGCCTTCTTCATGGGGAGGAGCCAGCAGGAGCAGTCACGCTGACTCCTGGCTTGGCTCACAACTGGCCCAGCCCTGAACAAGAATAATTCTCAAGTCCTTGCCCTGTGTGTGAGGAAGGGTTGACTCAGCAGACCTGGTTGCTCAAACCCTACCGTCCCAGAAAAGGTCTGTTTGCAAGAGTGGCCCTTGGGCAGCTCCAGAGAACCAAGTCCATGGAATGCTCTGTCTGGTGAGAGTGTTTTTCATGCCTGACTGAGGCTATGAGTTACTGAGTTACTGCACCAACAATGTGATTTCTGTGGGCACCTGCTTTCCTGCTGGGATCTGGAGCTTCAGTAACTGACATCATCACAGACACAGGCACCGTTTGCCTATGTGGCTAATCCCCAGTGAAAACCCTGGACACCCAGGCTTTGGTGGTTTCCTGGATTGTAGTTCTTCATGTGTGTTGTTGCTGCAGGTCATTGCTGGGAGAATTAGGTGCATCCACAGTGAATCCACTGGAAGGGACACCTGGAGGCATGTGCTGGCTTCCTCTGGCCTTTGCCATGCCCTTCTTTTCTCCCCTAATTATACTCTGAGCTCTCCCTATAATAACCCATAACCACAAGGGCACCAACCTCTGAGTCCTGTAATCCTGCTAGTGAATTATGGGCCCCAAGGCAGGTCTTGGCTGTGAGCTGGAGGCACAGTGCTCACATCAGCTCAGACCTGCCCCCAGAACTGCTCCTCAGTCCCTGAGACCATCCTCATTACTCTTTCCAGCCCAAGTCTAAGTTCTTCTTTATCTGTGCCCCTCCTGCCAGCTTGGCTGGCCTTCTAGACTACACATCCACCTTCAGAGATAAGAACCTGGGCCTTCCGAGTAAACTGGAGCCCATGCTGCCCTCAGCCTCCTGGGATTTCAGGTGCCTATAGCACATGGGAGCCCTGGCCCTGAGCACACACATTCCACTGGGCTTTTGAACAGAGCACTGATTGCATGGTACCACTGGTGCCCTGAGACCTACAGGATGTGGCCCAGGGCATGAACTGAGTCCAGACAAAGGTAGGAAGCCCCAGCAACCTCAGTCCCACCCAAGCTTGGTTTGGGGGTCTAGAAACACAGGGTCAGGGGGCCAGGGTACCAGAGGGCCTTCTTACCTGGGACCAGGGTCCGGTCCGCCACCGACCGGGACAGAGCTCACGGTTGCAGGCCCGGCGGCCCTCGGGCCGCGCATCGTTGCAGTGCTTGGCGTGCACTGGGCGGGTGGTGTTGTTGTGCAGCGGCTGCATGCAGCGCACAGAGCGAACCTGCGTGCCTGTCCGCCCACAGCTCTGACTGCACGGCTCCCATTCACCCGTGACCCATCTGCCAGGGCAGAGGGGCACATGTCAGACCCCTTTGGCCTCAGTGGCCAGAAGGCAGGCCTCCTGCTCCCCCAGGCCTTCCTTATTCTCACAAAGATGCCCCCTAGGTTTGCTGTGCTCCTGCCCGAGGTCCTGCAAACAATGGACCCTACACATGTCCACTGCTGGGAGCCCTGGCAGGGGTGGCCATGGACAGCCCAGGCCTGAGGGACCTTGTCAGTCTCTGTCCCTTCTGTGGCTCTGGCTCTGACCTCTGACCTCAGCTTCTGCTGACATCACTGACGCTTCTGGGCAGCAGTGTCAACTCCCTTAGTACCCAACCCCGCATGCTCCCTCCTAGTACCAAACTGTCTTCCCTGCTCAGGGTCCAGACATGCAGCCCTGCCAGACCTTGGGCCTGGAGGTCAAGGATGCCGCCACTGCTATGGGCTGTCTTGGAAATACCTCCCACAGGACCAGAAGCTAGCCCTGTATCCTGAGCTTCAATTTCCCTGTCTGAGCATTACCACTCGTCATCTCTAAGATGCACAGTAGTGTCTCATGTTTGCAAGTCTGAAGCAGGGGTGCAGTCTCTTAGATTCCACAAAACATGGTGATTAACAAAGAAATCCACCAAACATCTCGAGGAATATAAGGCTGGGAGCCACACCCCCTGCCTTGGGGGTGGCGCAAATCCCATACCTCCCTCTGTGGGAGCCCTGGGGGTTTGTCCTCTACTCCCTCTAGTGGGACCTGGAGGCTGGGGGCCAGGGGGCTGGGCACCCCCAGGCACTCACATGGGCTGGGAGCACTGCTGTGGGTTGCAAGCCCGGCGGATGGCTTTGGGCTTCGTGAGGGCGTCGCAGAAACTTCGGTGAACCATCTTGAGGTCCAGTCTCCGGCGGCAGCCATACTTGGTGAACTGGGACCCTGAAGATGAGAGCTCGAGGGGGCTCAATGGGCTGATGTGGCCCCTCCATGGGGCTCAAAGGGGCGGATTCACCTGCAGCTTTGGCCAGTTCTTCCCAACTTTCTGATGGGGTGGGGGAAGGGTGGGGCAGTGTGCCCAAGCCAGGTCTTGGAGATATCTAGCCCAGTGTCCTCCCAGCATCCTAGGCCGAGTGACAGTGAGAGGCCAGGGAGAGTGACCACCTTCTCCCTGGTCCCCTGGCTAGTCTCCTGGGGCAAGAGGGAAGGGTTCATTTCCTTTCCCATTGCTTAGCCATTTGCTCCATCTTAAATTAATATGTACCGAGGACCTAGCATGACCCAGGAGTTGGCTAAACATAGGAACAAGTCCTGCAAAGTTTCCTCCCACCACAGTTTAGTGCAGCAGTTCTCAACTGGGCGTGATTTTGCATGAAAGGACATCTGGAAATGTCTGGAACACTTAGCTGTCACAACTGGGGGAGTGTTGCTCAGAATTCTACAATGCACAGGACAGCCCCACAACAATGAATTACAGAGACCAAGGTGTCAGCAGTGCCAAAGTCACAAAACCTCAGCTTAGTGGGCAAGACATAAGAGAATATGTTGGGGCAGCCTGATATAGTCCGGGTATCTGGATGCATCACAGTAAGTAGAGGATGCGGGGTATTGTTTAGTGGGAAGGCAGTGGAGGGGCTCCTGGAGGAGGAGACAGGCTGTGCAAAGGGCCTAAGGCAGGAGCGTGGTGTGTCCAGGAGAAGCACCTAAGGCCAGGGTGACCAGGGCCTAGTGAGCAGTGGGAAAGGTCAGCAAGTTGCCTGGACCTTGGGGGTCATGACGAGAATTGTTTTTTATGCTGAGAGCNAAGAGCAGAGAGAGCTGCTGAAGGCTATGATACCAGGGAGAGATATGATCTGATCTGCCCTTTAACAGGTCACTCTGGGGGCAAATGAACACACAGGGCCTGGGAGGGAGCGAGGTGAGTGCCAGGGCTTGGAAGATGGGAACAGCAGATGGGTCCAAGAGCTATGCAGAAGCAAGAATCAACAGGACATGCAGATGAAATCCATCAGGGTTGGGGAGGCTCAACAGGAGGCTGGNTTTAACAAGTCACTCTGGGGGCAAATGAACACACAGGGCCTGGGAGGGAGCGAGGTGAGTGCCAGGGCTTGGAAGATGGGAACAGCAGATGGGTCCAAGAGCTATGCAGAAGCAAGAATCAACAGGACATGCAGATGAAATCTATCAGGGTTGGGGAGGCTCAACAGGAGGCTGGGGACACCATTACCCGGGCGGAAGCACTGGAAAGGAAAGCCTTCTATCTGTCAGTGCTGGGGAGTGGGTGACCCACCCTCTCAGCCAATACCTTTTAGGCATTTGAGGGAGGTCTGTCCTAGCCACCTGCTCCTGCAGGCTGAGCTATCTTCTCTCTCTGATCTCATTCACCTTCCAGGAGTAGTGTCCACTCTGGACAAATCAGGACTTTCTGTAAACCTGCATGTCCCACCCAACTGTGACTCCTTGATGTCTGAAGCAGGAGGGACCCCTCTGTACCCAGCACTGCCCTGGGAAGGTCTGGGAGGCCTTTCTGAATGAACATAAGGAGGGACCACTGCAGAGAGGGCTCCAGCACAGCCCACGTCTTCCCTGTGCCCTGCTTTGTGATGCCATAGTAACCCATCCAAGTCACCCTTGCAGCAACCTTCTGCCACCCACACTGATGTAGGTTGTGCTGGCATCAACCAAGCCCCACACATGCCCTCTGGCTGCCTTTGGCCTGCTGCCCTGAAGACCTCCTTCCTGCTCACCTTCTGCTTCCCAGGCAGGGCTAGCCCTTGTCACTCAGACACAGCTATCACTGCCTCAGCCTCCCTGGGGCCAATATTCTCAGACCTGGCACATGCCTCTGGCTGGGCAGTCAGCAGGGCACTGGGGGCTCAGGAAGCCCCTCACCCAGAAGACCCTTCCCACTCAGCCTAGGCTTCCTCTGGGGCCCCAACCCAAGAAGCCCCCTCACCTCCGCCGCAGGGCTTGGAGCACAGAGACCATTTCTTCAGGGCCCACTCGTAGCCTACGGAGTCATCTTCTAGGACCTGGTTGTCGTCCACGTTGAGTGAGTCCTCGTGGATCATGTACTTGTACGTCAGCGAGATCCGGGTATCTCCCTGTGGGATGACCTGTGCCCCAGCAAGGCCGTGAATGTGCCTGCCCAACTCTCTACCTCCGCTAAGCCGGCTTAGAAAGGTCAGTTGAGGCACATTTACAGCCCAGTCTCATTCTCGGTAGGTCATCATGTTCTACAAAGTCCCAGCACTGAACCACTGCTCACAGGGATCACAGATTAGGGTCCTGCGAGGTTCTGGTCATGACCTTTTCATCAACCGTCAACATGTAACCTTAGTTTATGCATCTTCTATTTAAAGACCCCTTACTTAATATATGTTGTTAATTCCCTGCCATCTGACTCCTGGCCAGTGCCCTGTAACTCAGGCCTGCAGGAAGCTCCTCTAACAGGCTGCACTGGCTCCATAGGGCACCCACCCTGCAGCTTCTCGCCCCTGGGAACAGCACAAAGTGCTTCAGCATTCCACCTGGGACCATTTTAAACAGTGAAATCATCCCATTAAAGCACAAAAATGTGAAAAAAAATGTGGCACTAAATACATTGTGAAAAGGACATTTGCTTAAAACAAGCAGTGTCACCTGGCTCCACCTCAGCTGGGACATACACGTCAAGGTGACAATTTTTTCACTGCTCTGCCCTTGTCTGCAAATGGCAATGAAATCACTTTGAGTTTTGATTTGGGGATTACAGATACATTTTAGCAAGTAGGCGAATTTACCAATACAGAAATCGCAGGTCCTGAGGCCCACGTGCACGTGCACTGGCAGGCAGGTCACCAACAGCATCTGGGGGTGACAGTCCCTGCAGGTGGAGCAAGTGGAGTGCTTTCCTGGGGATGAGGTACTGGGGCCTGGGTGACTACCCCCCACCACTGTGAGCTCACCTTAGCCTTATCTGTAGTATTTTGATTTTTTTATGACAAAATGTATTACTTATGCAATTAAAATTAGTTTTTAAAAAGTGATTACAAAACCAAAACCCCCTCTTTACTCCCATAACCAGGAGCAGCCTGGGGTCTTGAACTCCAGAGACCTGGGGTGCAGTCTTGCTCAGGAACAAAGTCTAGAGTAACCTGGGTGTGGTGGCCTAATATCCTGAGCCCCTTCCATCACTCCCAGGGTGCGGCATGACTTGGATTTGATGGCAGATGTGAAGGAGCATGATGAAAAGTGGCTATAAATCTCATTCAACAAGGAAACCAAAACCCTTACTGGGGAGGGTGCCTGAGGTCACCCTGGGGTGACTTAGGGCTCAGAGGCCCGACTGGCAGCTCTGTGTCTGTTCCTCACTCTGACACACAAATGGAAATCCTTGGTCCAAAGGACAGGCCAGAAAGGCTGTTCCAAGTGTGGCAGGAGGCTCCACCCCTTACCCTGTGGCCACTTGCCCCCTGGCCTGGGGACTTACCAGCACAGCGATGGTGCCATGAAGGGGGCCCATGGTCTGCAGTGTCTCCCGGCCATCTTCATCCCGGTACTCCCACTCCACACCCATGGCAATGAACGATTTGGAATTGGGATCTATGTCATTCTCTTCATTTAAAATGAACTTGCCTGTCTCCAAGTTCTTGACAGCTGAAAATGGCAAAAGGGAGCCCCCACCACGATTACCGGGGCAAGACCCAGGCATACTGCGGGGAGGCTGGAGGGGCACACTGGTTTGGGCAGATGCAGGGAATGTCCCTGCCAGACAACCCAAATCACCTGAGAGCCTGGCATTCCCTTTGCCACTCAGCCGGAATTCGTGCCTTTGTGCCAGGCCCAGCCAGGGTCCTTTCCCGGATCTGCCCCTACAGGCCACGGGGGAGCAGGGGCTCTGCTCAGAAGTGGTTCAACAGCTATCAAGGCTACCTCCCCTTGGAGCAGGCACCCAGAGCCCCTGCCTTCCCCGCCTCAACCCCCAGCAGGGCATCTGCTGGACACTCAGGCACAGGGCTGGGGTGGGGGCTTCCTGCCATGAGGTGAGCATATGTCCAGCTGCAAAGCAGAGTCTCCCTACCCTATCTGTAACAGTGGCCCAGCCTAGGGCCCCACCAGTTCCTCACCCCCTGAAGAGGTTTGGTCTGGCTGGAGGACCACTCAGGTCACTGGGCATCTGCAAAGAATGTCTAGGAGCTGAGGACCCAGCTGGACAGGAAGCCCCACACTCCCAGAGTGTGGAAGGAGGCACTGGGGAGCTGCTGGGTGACTAGGGAGCCCACAGACAAGGCACAGAGTGAGGAAATAACTCCCTACACAAGTCTCCTATAACTTGTTGTCCACATCACAGTGTGAGCCTCAGTAGGTGCCATAGGTCCTCCACTTGTCACTAACTCTCCTCTCCTGCAGAGAGAGGGCCTGGGACCTAGAGTCTTTAGCAGTCTTTTTTTGGGGAAACTGACTTTTTAAAAAAATCCTCACCCGAGGATATTTTTTCCATTGCTTTTCAGAGAGAGTGGAAGGGGGAAAGAGAGAGAGAGAGATCGATTGATTGGTTGCCTGCTGACCAGGGCAGGGGATCGAGCCCGCAACCAAGGAATGTGCCCTCGGCCGGAATCCAACCCAGGACCAGTCCATGGGCTGAGGCTCTAAACACTGAGCCAAACCAGCTCAGGCAGGAACCGACTTTTATATTTGCCTTCTGTTTAAGGCAAGTAGTACTGGTTTTGCATTTTGGGTAGCAATATAAAGTTTCTTCTTAAAATAAGAATAAAAGGAAAGTGAGTATTAAAAGAAAGTGGTCTTTGTCATGTGTCAGCAGGGATGCTGATGGTGACATCCGGAACCAGTCTGGCCTCCACGGGACAGGGAAGAAGGTGGGCCCCAAATTGGGGAAAGGGACTTATTCAGGATCCTCCCAGCAGCCCCCTGCATCACTCTCAGGCCCCATGACTGCCCAGGAGGTTGGGCTCAGATGCCTTTCTGGGGAGGGGGTGAAGATGGGTGGAGCCCCTAAAAGGGGCTCTGGGCAACTTCGGTGTGCAGAGTCCCACCGGCAGGGGGTTCCCACTTGGGAAGGGGCACCCAGAGCTGTTGGAACAGCCAACATTTCAAGAGTGGCCAGAAATCTCTACTCCAGATAGAATCCTAAGGATTTAAAATTACACTAATGGAAAACATGCAAATATACTGTATGAGGCCATCCTCCAGCCCGCCTCAGGCCCTGTGGTTGGTATGTGGGGCTACTCAGGACTCTGCTGCTTGCAGACTTGCCTGCCTTCCAGTGGGTAGTGGGGGCAGTCCCCCTTAGCCTTGAGATGGGGAGTCATCGTTCTGTGGGCTGGGTGTATGTGACACATATCCCTCCACAGCTGCTGCCAGGAGCCCTCTGATCCAAACACGTGGCCTCTCCATCAAGAGGTGAATCCAGAAAAGGTCCACGATGTGGGCTGAGCCAGGGACAGGGAGGTGGGGCCCTCCAGTCAGGCCTCTGACCCCCCAGGGGCTCCGCCCATACCCAGTAGAGCCAGGCTGTGGATCTGCTCCGTTCCTGGGCTGCGGGACTCACCCAGGTGATGGCTGGTAGTGTCTGCTTCCTGGATGAGCAGGTGTCTGGCTCCTGCCGGGATCTCAAACATCTTAATGTAACCTTTGTTGGGATGTGGGGAGACAAAGCCAAGTGAGAGGAGAGGGGTTGCCGGGGTGCAGAAATGCACGGAGGGCCTTGCTCTCGAAGGCAGCTCCAGAGGCCCCAGTGTATCATGGGCCTTGACCGCCCACCCAGAGAGGAAGCAGCCTGCGCTTCGCAATGCAAAGACATCTTGCTGACAGCCAGCTGCGGGCAGGGGCTAAGGGGCAGGGAGAAAGGGACCCACAGCTGCCCCACAGCCCTAGAAGACGGGAGGGGTGGCCTCCGCAGGCCCCTGCCCTCAAATAGATGTCTGAGACCCACCCTGTGCACCTATCTTCTGGCATCCTCTGTCCTGACTCCTCACCTGGGCCCCCACTCTCCCTGTCTCCCACCCACCCTGGAGCCTGGCTCAAGCTGTCCTGAGGTTCTCCCACCTCACCCTTTTAGATCCTTCCCCCAGCCAAGAGTCATGAATCCAGACAGAGCCCCAAGGACAAGTCTGTCCCACTTCCACCCAGCAGGTGTTGTAGACATTCAGGCCCCAGGGCCAGAGGGAGAGGCTCACTCACCCAGCTTCTTAGGTGAGCGAGTGAATGTGCCCTTGACCACTTTGCAGTGGGAGTTGTCCCCTCCACACACACCGCACTTGTCTTCTTGCTTGCTGGAGCCGATTACTCCATCACAACCCACCTTCTGTGAGGGGGAAGGGGGGTTGCAGTTTACACGGAGATCCCCCTCCCCACTAGGGTTCTGGCTTGACCTGTGCCCTCAGGGCATTAGCACCTGTTCCCTGCACATCCCTTCTTAGCTGTTCCCAATGCAAGGGAAAGAGGCAGGACTTTGGAGCAAGAGAGACCCTATGTGCCCACCTGAGGAAGAGCCACTTCCCCTCACTCATTCACTCATCTAGACAGTATGACTTCAGAGGGCTCTGCACAGCCTAATGGGGCCACATCCTGAGACTGTCCTAATTCAGCAAGCTGGCCTCAAAATAAACTTTTCTGTCCTGCGGGCTGTAACTTAGATCTGGTCTTTGCCCCTTGTCTCAGGGCCACACAGTGCAATCTCAGCAGCAGCCCCTCCTGGGCTCCCACCCACAGCTTAGGCCTGGATGTCCCAGCCTTCACATTGCCCACAGGAACACAATGTACTCTTTAGTCTGTCTTCAGGTGTCTAGACAGGAGGTGACAAGAATTGGTGGAAATACTTTTGCCTTCATTCTCTTGTGGCAGGATAGTAAGAAGCTAGGGAAATTCCTTGGCAAGTGGAAAAAGGGAAACAGACAAAATAATTAAACAAGGCCAAATGATTTGAGCAATTTACAGCAAGCTAATAAATCACAAGGTTTATCTTCCCTAACCAAAGACAGGAACAAATTGTTTGCACATTCTAGACAGAACAGCCTTGGTCTTGGTCCCTCTTCAATAATGTTTTTTAAAAATAAAATTAGCCTGGCTGGTGTTGCTCAGTGGTTGAGCATCGACCTATGATCCAGGAGATTGAGGTTTGATTCCCAGTCAGGGCACATGCCCTGGTTGTGGGCTTGATCCCCAGTAGGGGTTGTGCAGGAGGCAGCCGATCAATGACTCTCTCATCATGGATGTTTCTATCTCTCCTTCTCCCTCTCTCTCTCCCTTCCTCTCTCTGAAATCAATTAAAAAATATTTTAAAAATAAATAAATAAATAATAAATAAATAAAACTAACCAGAATATAACCCTGACCCCTCTATACACACACATTTTGATGAATAAACATATTGAAGGAAACATCTGAAAAGAAAAGCTAATGAATATTCTGTTAGTTTTATTTATTTATTATTTATTTATTTATTTATTTTTAAAATATTTTTTAATTGATTTCAGAGAGAGGAAGGGAGAGAGAGAGGGAGAAGGAGAGATAGAAACATCCATGATGAGAGAGTCATTGATCGGCTGCCTCCTGCACAACCCCTACTGGGGATCAAGCCCACAACCAGGGCATGTGCCCTGACTGGGAATCAAACCTCAATCTCCTGGATCATAGGTCGATGCTCAACC